GCTGGAGCTTGGTGCTGGATACAAAACTGGCAGGATAATAATGCAACACAGAAGCTGTATGAGGGAGAAATTGAGCAGTATGTACTGCTTTATATCCCTGCCCTTATTTGTCTACTGTTGTCTGCTGTTGCTGTCGTAATGACAGTAATAGCAATTATACGTCGAGCTTATAACTGCTGTGGCTATGAAGATAACTGTTCAAAAAGGGAGCAGATTGAAAGGCAAAATTTTTTGAAAGTGATGCTGCCACTTGTAAGTTACCCAATATTATCTTTTGTTTTCTACATACCAGCATTCATAAATCGAGTAATTGGTTCTGCTTCTAAGCATCCAAATACTATTAGTTTTATGTGGAGTGCTATATCACTACCATTGGTAGGGCTCTTGGCTGGGGTCTCTCTCATTATTCACATCATTATTTTGAAGTTCCCAAAAACACAAGGATATGAAGAAATCTTGGATTCCATAGATAAAGGAGAAAGAAAGAGATTGGTGCACTCGGGCAAAAAGCAAGGCTACAAAACTACAAACCCATGAGCTCCTGAACTATTAAAACAACATAATTATTAAACTTTTAAACAAAGTATATAGTCTAGTTTTTATAGTAGTGTATACGAACCTCGATGTGTAGTTTCACACCCTATTTTGATATGTTTGTTATCTTTTTGATTTTTGTGACAAGCCTAATATAAAAACTGATAGCTATCACAACCTTTACTGTCTATTAGAGATAGTGAACAAAACATGGTTGTTATAATGCCATATGTGAATATGTGAATACAATGGACAGTGTCTTCCTAATGCTAACTGTCCTAATAATGGAACCCCTAATCCTATGAATGGGAATGAATGTGAATGTCCTCACAATTTTGGAGGCAGCAACTGCAGAGGTAAGTAGATTCTTATGATTATTTATCATTAATTTTTAGATTGTTTGCTAACTGTTACTGACTGTCAGAACCAATATCTATTAAATCAAACAAGCTGTCGCTGTGAAGGTAGAAATCAGACATTGCACATCTACTTAATAGTTTATTTACTTGTATTTACTTCTATTTTAAAAATAAAGTTCTTGTATTTACTTGTACTAATATCAAAAATATTCTCTATTTTAGAAAACTTAATTCATGTATTTTACTTCAAAAAATCATCTACTATCATGTATTGAAATGAAGAAGAGAGTACAAAAAAACACTTAATAGTTATTATAAAATGCACACATAGTACAGTAAATGAGTATTGTTAAGTATTATTTAAGAAAAATGAGTTTTTCCAGTTTGGAAAAACTGCTACTGTCAGATTACTGCTAGAAGTGGATGGAAGAGAGATTCAATAGATGATGTGTGTTACTTGGCCACACCAAATTCAATTAAGGCCTGGCTTAAGTAAATACATGATTTTATTCTTCTACTTACAAAACAGGATCATGTATGTACTTGTATTTATTTTTTCATTAAAAATCGTGTAAATATTCATATATTGTCTATAGATGTGCAATGTCTGGTAGAAATCGATTTTTTTGTATTATTGCACATGAATTATTCTGTTTTTAATGTAGCATGTCCCTCTGGTTATTATCAATTCCTTGCTAATCCAGAATCAAGAGTGCCAGAGAGTGTTGTTGGATCACCAGGTAATGGAGCTGCTCTTTGGTCAATATTCATAGACTACAAGACAAGTCCATTCTCTTCAAAAAAGAAATTGCTTTCTTAATAACTCAAAATTTTTTTCTTAGAATCTGCTCAAACTTTCTACATGGCATAAAGACATAAATATGTATCAGAAGATTATAAAAAATTGTGGGTAATTTTGGAGCCATTTTTTTAGAAAAAAACTATGGACTATAGCCTTTGATTTTTTTCTAAAATTGGCCGATTTTTAAAAATGACCATAACTCGAAAAATATTTGTCAGAATTGGCTCAAACTTTCTGTATAGCATAAGGATATCAATATGTATCAGAAAATGTAATAAAAAATTTGGGGTGATTTCGGAGCCATTTTTGGAAAAA